GTCTACGTAAGTGTTGCCACCAGATGGCACCAGAGTCCCTGCCATCACTCCGAGAATCAAACATAACTTCAGCCATTTGTTGCCAAGTTAGCCATTAAAAATGCCTTCTTTAATGAAGAAATTTAAAGTTACTGACCAAGCAGAATTCCAATAAATACTACCATAGAAATTTCAAGAACAAACCAAATAAATAAACCAGGTAATTTACCCTTTTTTCACATGGGTAGACTGTTCTGTTCACTTGGCCCCTCTGCTCTGTCCCTTAGTAAGCACTGGGTTCTTACCCTGTCGGCTGCTGTCTAGACCCTGCACAGAACCTAGCTTTTAAGACTTCCCAATGGAGAATGCCTAGATACCTGAAAATGGCCTCATGTCCTTGGTTTGTATTTTTAGATAATGTATTTTCCTAGAAAGGAAAAATTAAACATTATAAAGAAATTGCTATCACCCCACCACTTTTAATATGTTGATTATTTTGGCTGCCTCATTCTGGTCTTTGCTCCCTTGTATGTGTGACTTTATCCATTTTTGATCATGAGAAGCTATAATAAGAACTCTGATTTACTGAGTATGAATTATGCAGTGTACTTATTTTACATACATTACTTCCATTTAAATATAAAAGGTATTATATTGAATGCTTATATTTATTACCTTACTTATCATGAGTGATGTTAGCTTTCCATGCATTAACTCACTTAACCTTACGAGAGAAGATACTGTTAACCTTGTTTTTACAGTTTACAGAAATGAAGCTTATCAGGGTTAAGTGACTTGTATAAGGTAACTCAAATAGTAAATAGCTGTATTAAGATTCTCTTTAATTCTAAAATCTCTGCTCAGTGTATCATTCCATTTTGTTCATTCTTTAATGATTTCTATTTGCACTTCTAGAAAGGGTCTGAAGTTTAAATAGAATCACTGAAATAAGGGTTTGATTTAGATCTTTTTTCCTGCTGCTAGACTGGCTGCTCCTGGAGGACAGGGACTAGAGGTCATGTTTATTTCTGCATTCTTCTTTCCCATTAAATCAAAATAAATACTTTATGGATGGATTAGTGAGTGGAATGCTGCCTCCACTCTCCCAGGAAGTCTGAGATACAGGGCTGGTTAACAAAACCTTAGCCTGTTAGAACTTGAAGGGATTTGAGAAATCAAGCCAAACCTTTCCTTTTTTTTTTTTTTTTTTGAGACAGAGTCTTACTCTGTTGCCTGGGCTATAGTGCCGTGGGATTAGCCTAGCTCACAGCAACCTCAAACTACTGGGCTTGAGCAATCCTACTGCCTCAGCCTACCGAGTAGGTAGGACTACAGGTATGTACCACCATGCCCGGCTAATTTTTTCTCTCTATATATATTTTTAGTTGGGCAATTAATTTCTTTCTATTTTTAGTAGAGATGGGGTCTTGCTCTTGCTCAGGCTGGTTTCGAACTCCTGACCTTGAGCGATCCTACCTCAGCCTCCCAGAGTGCTAGGTTTAGAGGCATGAGCCACCACACCTGACCCAAACCTTTCTTTCAAGGAGAGAGGACCGACCTCCTTAGGGTGACCCAATGAGTTGGAGGCAGAACAGAACTAGAGCTCAGGTCTGCTGGGCTTCCACTGGGCCATCTGGTTTCAAAGAGCCTAGTCCTGTCTCTAAATTCCTTTCTTGCCTGGGTGCGGTGGCTCACGCCTGTAATCCTACACTCGGAGCCGAGGGGCGGATTGCCGAGCTCAGGATTCAAACCTGAGCAAGAGCAAACCCTACCGTCTCATACTATAAATAAAGAATTAATGCCAACTAACATACAATATACCATATATCATACTACATAATACTAACCTATACTATATAATAATATACATACACACCCATAAAAATTAGCTGTCATGGTGGCACATGCCTGTAGTCCCAGCACACTCGAGGAGGCTGAGCACAAATTCTGAGCCCAGGATGAAGTTGCGTGAGCAGGTCATGCCAGCACTCAAACTCTAGCTGGGCAACAAGCGAGATTCTGCTACAAAAAAAAAAAAAATGAAATAAATTCCTTTCTTTCTCTCTCTTCTTCCCTTTTTGTGTTTTGTCAATCACATTGCTCTCGTCTTTCTACCTATGTGACTTGAGTAGCTTTTTCACCCTAAATAAGCTGAAAGTCAAAACATACAAATTTTGATCCTTACACGAAGCCCATGACTAACTCCTGATTTGGGTGTGTCCAAGTTCAGAATAAATCTAGGTTCCTCCTGCCTAACCTCACTCAAAATGTACAAGTTACTCATGGTATCAGAAAATTGACCTGAACTCAGTACTCCTCCAGAATATTACATTGATGTTGGTGGGAGTGAAAAGAGCTATTAGAGCAGATGGTTTAGACCAAAATTCTGTCTTCTCAAGAGAGTCCTGCTCCAAATGTGACCAGACTGTGGGATTTAATTCTTCTCTATCTCTGCCCTACCTGTTTGTAAAAAGCCTCAGACCTGTAAAAACAACAATGTTGAAGAACCAATAGACGCTCAGCCCTTCTTAATACCTTACTCCTCCAATACTCCTTTATATCATGATTCAGCTTGCCTTTTTTTTTTTTTGAGAGGTCTCACTTTGTTGCCCAGAGGCTAAGTGAGTCCGTGCGTCCACCTAAGCTCACACAACCTCAAACTCCTGGCTCAAGCGTCTCCCTGCCTCACCTCAAATCCTGGATTACCAGGCAACGCCACCACCCGGCTAAATTTTTGTATTATTTTTAGTGTGCATTAATCTTTCTATTTTTAGTAAACGGGGTCTCCTTAGCGGTTTCCGAAACTCCAACACCGACGACCCCACCTCAGCCCCAGAGCTAGGATTACAGGCGTGAGCCACCGCGCCCGGCTCAGCTTGCCTTATAACCTGGTTTAAATTATCTGCTGCTGTTTGTTCTCATGTCTTTTCCTAATGTCTTCTCAATGCCAATAGAATGACATTATTTGGGCAACTATTTGTTAGGACATCCTGGTGCTTCTACGCTTTTTATGTAAGGCCAGACCATTTTAGAATGCCTCATTTAGAGGGTCAATTGTGGGCTTCTGTGCAAGAGGATTGTTATTGAGACTTTATGCTTTACTGGCCAGCAGCCAGCATCTTTGGGCACACAGAATGGGCACCTCTAAAGCAAAGTGACTCTTCTTACCATTCTCAGTTCTCTCACTGTTTCATTTTATTTTTATCCATAACATAACACTAAAAAATTAAGGCTTTTTCTTTTCATAGAGCAGTCTGTAAGAGAATGGTAGCTACAGATAACTAACCACTATAAAGAAACTCTAAGTTGTACTTTCTATTATGGTAGTCACCAGTTACATGTGGTTATTAACCACTGGAAAGATAGTCTGCTGTAATAAAATACACATAAGATTTCAAAGCCTTACTATAAAGAATTAAAATATTTTATAAATAATTTTAATATTGAGTATATACTGAAATGATAATTTATATATAGTGGGTTAAATAAAGTATTATTAAAATTATTGTCATCTGTTTCTTTTTACTTTTATAAAATATAGCATCTGGAAATTTTTGAATTATATATGTGGCTTGTATTAGATTGCTGTTGGACAGTACTGGTCTAGAAATCCCTAAGAGTAAATACTTTTTTAGTTTTTTCTACTATGGAACACAAGGAAACTAGCTAACTCTTTTCTCTTAGCTCTCCTTTTTTTTTTTTTTTAAACGTTCTTTCATTTGATGACATCAGGAAGAGAACCTCCATTAAATACTAATTATCTTTTTTTACACCTCTACTCTTTGGAGAAGAGTGAAAGCAGGGTGGTTGGGGAGGGAGTTAGGAGACATTGGGGAGCAGAAGACTGGTGATTACTCCAAAATTCTGTCTTAGAATTGTTTTATACATTTGAAACTCTTCAGCTTACAAGTCTGAAGTAAAGCTGGGAAGGAGGGATAAGTATTATAAAATAGGCACTCTTTAAAATAGAAATGTGTCTCCCCCTTAAGGAGTCTCTAGTCTAGTTTTACTTTCTTCTTATTTATCCAATTTATTGAGAACCTGTCATGAGCCAGGCAGTTTCCTAGCACAGAGGAAACATGAATGTGGCCTAGTCACTACCCTCAAGGAGCTTACATTCAGGTGAAGAATGAATTTGAATCTAGCCTTTTTTTTTTTTTTGAGACAGAGTCTGACTTTGTTGCCCAGGCTAGAGTGAGTGCCGTGGCATCAGCCTAGCTCACAGCAACCTCAAACTCCTGGGCTCAAGCGATCCTCCTGCCTCAGCCTCCCGAGTAGCTGGGACTATGGGCATGCGCCACCATGCCCGGCTAATTTTTTCTATATATTTTTAGTTGGCCAATTAATTTCTTTCTATTTATAGTAGAGACAGGTCTCGCTCTTGCTCAGGCTGGTTTCGAACTCCTGACCTTGAGGGATCCGCCCGCCTCTGCCTCCCAGAGTGCTAGGATTACAGGCATGAGCCACCGTACCCGGCCTGAATCTAGCCTTATACTCTAGATAAGCACTGTAATGATAGTAGAAAAGAAAATGCTTCTGATGCACTAGAAAGTCGTGACTAATTCTGCCTGGAAAGGAGAGTGAAAGCTTTATGTGTATTGAATGTGATGTTATCAGGCAGAAAGACAGGTGGGAAGGATGTTTTAGTCTAAGGATGACAGCTTGACTTAAAGACATGGAAAGTGGTAGATGACTCTCAAAATAGTAGTTTGAGGCCACATTATTGGAAATTTGACTTCCTGGCTGAAATGTTGGATCCTATCCAAATGCAGGGGACCTTTACAGGATTTTAAGCAGAGAAATGACATGTTATCCAAGAGATAATTGAGTGAGGGATGAAAAGGGAGAGTCAAGCAGGGTACAAAGTTTCTAACTTTGATCACTAATGGAGTTACCTTTATCTAAGGTTAGAAACATAGGAGAGGATCAGGCTAAGATGGACAACAAGATGCATTCTGGACTTGTGGATAGAGGTGCAGAGGGAGCTGGCTAGAGCTCATATGCTTCTGTTTGTGTTTCAGATGGTGACCCTCTTTCAGATGTGGGTTGTTCCCCTCTATTTCACAGTGAAGCTGCATTGGTGGAGGTTCCTAGTGATCTGGATCTTGTTCTCTGCTGTCACAGCCTTTGTCACCTTCCGAGCCACCCGAAAACCTCTAGTACAGACAACCCCAAGGTGAGAGTTTAGATAGTGGGGAAGAGGTTTTTTGAAGCTAATGGGTTTTTTGAGCCCAGGTTTTTTGAAGCTAATGGGTTGGAATGCATGGGAGGAGTATGGGTTTAGACTGAAAAACTTGCAGGTTTTGTCTGCCAAAATTGTGTGGCATGGGGCCTCTCTAAAACAAGCTGATTGGGAGACCCACCTACCCTAGTCACAGATAAGAACCCCTACATATTTCTCTAAAGCTTCCTTTATGGTTCATATCAAGGTCTGTTTATATTAAAAACACTGAGTAAATCCTAGTGATCATTGTGGTCTCATTGTAAATGTTATTTTTTTCTGTGAACCCTTCTCTGATCTCCAAATTAGATTTTTTGTTGTATTTTCTCATAATGCACAGTAGTTATCCTTCAGAGAACTTATCATACTTTATAACTAAATATTATTTTGAGTATCTATCTCCCCCACTAAACTATAAGTGAGATCAGGAACCACATCCATTTGTTTGTCTCTGTATATCCAGGCCCTTTCACAGGGTCTGGCACATAGTATCCTACTCCATGAATTTTTGTTGAATGAATGAATTTCAGCAAATTTATAATTTTCCAACAAACAATACTTCCTTCTTGAGTCACCAAGCAGCCACTGCCTGTATAATTCTTTGTGTTTTATCCAAATTCATTTCTCATTTGATCTTCCCAACCAGCTTGTGAGGTCATTTAATATCTGTACTTGAAAGAAAAAAGAGAGATTTTCTCATTCATTCATTCAGTAAGCACCTACTATGTGCCAGGCCCTGTGCTGAGCGCTGGGGATACAGAGCTGGATAAGACATGGTCCCTGCCCTCAAGGAGTGCTCGGTTTAATGGAGGAGATGGACGGGAAAGCACCTGTTGCAGTGCACTTGGTAAGTGCTATGATAGGGGTGTGCACAGGTCTAGGAGAGCCTAATAGAGGAACTCGCCAGCCTCAAAGTCTTAACTTCCTGTTCCAAAATCATTTGAGTTGTAAAGGCTCTTCTTCCTGTACCTTTTATGTTCCACTTTACTGCAAGCCTTTCTCTGACCTCTGAGTTTCAAGGTGAAGTTGGTGATCTAAAAGCCTCTCTCTGGCTTTGGTAGTTTACTTCATGGGCATTATGGAAGACACAAGCTCGGGAGTCAGATGGATGTGGATTGGGAACCCCAGTCTTACCACGTTAGCTGTTTGACCTCACCTTTCTGAGCCTTGACTTCTTCATCCCTAAAAATGGGACAATAATTAGTACCTTACATAGGGTAATATGAAGCAAAAGTGTAGTAAAACATATTACAAGTCACTAGATAACAGTATCAACTTGTAGCTAAAATGACTAAAAATGTGTTTATAATATGGAGGTTTTTTATAACTAACATTTAAAAGTGCTTTATAATTTCAAAGCACTTTCATAGACGTTCTCGTTTATTTGTGGAACATTTAATGAGCATATATTATATATATACCAGGAAATGGGCAATCCAGTGAGAAAGGCAGCATGGTTTTCCACTGTTTTACAAAGAAAATTACCTCTCCTATCTCAGAGTGGTGATTTGACTTTCCTGAGGTTACCCAATTAATAAAACCTCATTTAATCCAGATTAAGGGTTCCTTGACCTAAAATTACATGTCCTTTTTGTCGTGTTTCTATCCCTTATGACCAGTGCAAACTCTGGGTAATGGAGCTATGTGTGGTCTTAAGGCAGTACTACAAGATGTTTGGGGCCTTTCCCTAGCCTGAGAAGCCATTGCTACTTGCTTAGGCAGAGCAAGGAGGCACAGGCAGGAAGGAACCTTGAGCTTCCTCCCTGAGGTTCAGCAAGGTTGGTGGTAATGTAGCTGGCTCTTAGGAACCACACAGGCTTGTGCTGGTTTTTCAAGCAAATTGCTAAATTGTTTATTAGCTCTCATCACAGATAGAATAGTGGCTGCTGATATCAGGGACATACTCCTTGTGGTGTTTTAAAGGCTCTGGTTCATTCAGGGAACTGTCTTTCCTCTCTGAATCTTTCTGGGGTCAACCAACCATATTGCACTCTATTCTTCATTGGATGCTTGGGCACACTGCTCCTTCAGGGGAGAACAACCCCACTCCACCTCACCACCACCACCACAACCACCCACACATACATCTATTTCAAAGGTACTTTTTGAGTGTCTCCCTCCTTAATCCCTTCGCTGCCAGAAAAAAAGTCATTTTAGAAGCAAATTCATTAGATATCATTTCTTTCATGATTGGATTATGAACAGGAACAAAGCTTTATTCAGGCTAACCAGGCCCAAGTGTAAAACTCTCTAGTTAATTCTACCTCTAATTCATCTTCCCTTGAATTTTCTTTCCTGACAAGAACTAGCCTTCCCCACCTGTTGTCTTCTGAGCACAGGTATATTATTATCAATAGTTTTTACTTCCTCATCCAACTAACCTGAATTTGAGATGATATAGCTGTCTGAAGTCAGCTGTGCTCTTTTTTGTTTAAGGCTAAAACTTCTTTTTTAGGAATCTCTTTTCTTTCCTTGGTCCGAGACCAGAAAAATACAAAGCACTAGTTCCCTGGTTGATAGAGTTTTTCTGCAATTAAGGGAGTGAACAGCTTTGGGTAGAAACTGCAGTTGCTCAGTAAGTTCTGAACAAAGAGCCTGATGTGCCCACTGATGTTTGGGAATAAGGGATTCTGGTGATCCAGTGGCCTCTGAGGTCCAAATCTCTGTGTCAGCTGTACTAACTTTCTTTCCTTCCTGCAGGTTGGTTTATAAGTGGTTCCTGCTGATCTATAAAATCAGCTATGCCACTGGCATCGTTGGCTACATGGCTGTCATGTTTACCCTCTTTGGTCTTAACCTGTTATTCAAGTGAGTACCCTTTGCTTTTCTTTTTGCTGGTGTTTGGGGAGAGAGGCTAGTGACGTGAACCTTTCTTCCTGCTGCAAATCCCGGATATTTATAAGAGGGACATAACACCCAGTATAGGAAACTTAGGTGCTGTGGGGGGCTGAGTGAAGCCCTTCGTGATTTGTGCTGGCAGAAAGCAAAGATTATACGAATATTTACAAAGTCAGAGTTCCAAATCATTGGTTGTATTTTTTAAGAATTTATATTTTAGTGAAAAAGTATAACAAAAGTAAGCATGATAATTGTTACCAATAATTATTGCCCATAACCCCATCACCCTAACAGAACTATTTTCCTTGTCCATGTGTACTATTTATTTGCAACATCCACTCTGCCTGAGTGGCCTTATATTCATCTAGACCAAGAGGATTGGCAAACTATGCCTTGTGGGCCAAATCAGCCTACCAACTGTTTTTATAAAATAAAGTTTTATTGGAACAGAGTCATGTTCGTTCATTTTCATACTGTCTATGACTGTTCTTGCTCTATCGCCCCAGATAGACTTCAGTGGCTCACTGTAACCTCAAACTCCTGGGCTCAAGCTTGCCCTCTGGGAGGGTAAGGCAGGGGAGGACTGTTTGAGCTCAGGAGTTTGAGACCAGCCTGAGCAGGAGTGAGACCCCATCTCTAGTAAAAATAGAAAAATTAGCTGGGCATCATGATGTGTGTCTATAGTAGTCCCAGCTACTTCCTACAGAGGCAGGAAGATCACTTGACCCCAGGAGTTGGAGGCTGTAGTGAGCTACAATGACGCCACTGCGCTCTACCCAGGGCAACACACTGACACTCTGTCTCAAGAAAAGGAAAAAGGAAATTGAGACAGAATCTTGCTCTGTCACCTGGGCTAGAGTGCCATGGCATCAGCCCAGCTCATAGCAACCTCAAACTCCTGGGCTCAAGGGATTCTCGCGCCTCAGCCTCCCAAACAGGTGGGACTACAGGCAAAGACCACCACACCCGGCTAATTTTTTCTGTTTTTAGTAGAGACAGGGTCTCCCTTTTGCTCAGGCTGATCTCGAACTCCTGACCTCAAATGATCCTCCCACCTTGGCCTCCCAGAGTGGTAGGGATTATAGGCGTGAGCCACTGAGCCCAGCCTCCATTATGTTTTAAAGATGTTTTTTTCTGTAATTATAGTTTCTTTTTACTTGCCTAAACTATACAAGGTGGAAAACAGAACTGAGATTCTTGACTATTTTTATGCTACTGATCAGGTTAGTTGGTGTAAAATCAATAATATCTAGTCATTGGGTTAAATATATGGTTGATAAACAAATTCAACTTTCTGTGATAAATATAATTTATAACTTTAAGCGAACACATACAGTCCTTTATACAAGTATTTTAACAGGTAATTTTCTATAACATGTGTAGACTCAAGGTTGCAAATTATTAGTCCTAAGAATTATTAAAACAAACCTTCTAATATTATAGGCAAGCTCTTTATCCTTGGTAAAATAGACCCGGACCAAAATTTGACTTTGACATGATACAGAATATATATAGATGCAACTAATAATTTTATGGTAACTGGTATGTAAATATTTACTAACTAACCAGTTTTATACTTTTTTCTAAACCTGTGTTTGGCAAACGTTTTCTGTAAAGGGCCACAGAGTAAATATTTTAGGCTCTGTGAGACAATAGGCAAAATCTAGGATATTATGTAAATACTTACATAACAAGAGAGGAAACTCCTACCCTGCCCCACTCTGTTTGTGTGGGGAAGGAGGGCAGGTCTCAGGTAGTGGGCATACTCTGTGCCCAGTTGCCATCAGTTGAGACGTTCTCAGAAGGAGCAGCTTGGCAGAGGGTGTTTGGCCACTTTGGGTAGTTTTCACTTTGTTCCAGTGACGCCCGGATCCTAGTGTGCCCTTCCCTCCTTTGGAGGGCTCAGCAATTTCAACTTGGGTGGCTGGCTGGGAGTGAGACAACTCAGTGAGGCAATTCACTTGGTGTCCAACAATTGCCAGCAGTGGAGTCCCCAACGTGTAGGTCCTGACAAGTAAAGGTCACTGGCAGCTGCAAGGCATGGCCACCAGTCAGGGGAGGCAGGAACTGGGAGCAAAGTGGGAGAAAGGGACAGGAAGGGATACTCTAATTTGGTCTTTGTAGCTCACACTGCTAGCCTCCTCAAGAGGTGTCCATGGGCCATGTAAAAATAAGCAGACTAGATTTGGTCATAGTTTGCCAACACTTACTCTAGAGTCTTTGAACCTTCCTACTTTAGTCACTGTCATGTGTGTCCCAGAGTAGTAATCCAAAGCAGTCATGTCTCATGCAGGCCTTACTGGCTATGCTGCTTCCCTTACAGGATCAAACCAGAAGATGCCATGGACTTTGGCATTTCTCTCCTCTTCTATGGCCTCTACTATGGAGTTCTTGAACGGGACTTTGCAGAAATGTGTGCAGACTACATGGCGTCTACAATAGGGGTGAGTTCACCTGGGCTCTCACCTGCTTCCTGCCACCTCCAAATTGTTGATGCTGACATCACTTGTTTGATGGAAGAGGGATGAGATAAGCCATATAAAATCCTTCAAGATGGGGGTGGTATGCATGGAGATTTATTCCTTAAAATTTGGAAAGCCAGATCTGATATGTACCCTGGAATTTTTAACTTTAGGGCCATTATTAGAAAGAACCACTTTACTTAGCAGGAGGTTAACATTCATTCAACAAATAATTTTTAATGCCTTCTTTGTGCCTGGGTACTGAGCTGTGTGCTGGAATTACAAAGGTATACAACAATAAACATAGTCCTTGTCCAAATAGAGTTTACTCTCTAGTGGGAGAGAGATGGGCATAAAAGGAATAAACAGGCCAGGCGCAGTGGTTCACGCCTGTAATCCTAGCACTCTGGGAGGCCAAGGCGGGTGGATTACTCAAGGTTAGGAGTTCGAAACCAGCCTGAGCAAGAGTGAGACCCCGTCTCTACTATAAATAGAAAGAAATTGGCCAACTAATATATATAGAAAAAATCAGCTGAGCATGGTGGCGCATGCCTGTAGTCCCAGCTACTTGGGAGGCTGAGGCAGGAGGATTGCTTGAGCCCAGGAGTTTGAGGTTGCTGTGAGCTAGGCTGATGCCACGGCACTCACTCTAACCTGGCCAATACAGTGAGACTCTGTCTCAAAAAAAAAAAAAAAAAGGAATAAACACACAAATAAACATAAAATTACAACTTTAATAAACATTGTATAGGAAATGTTTATGATGCTATGAAGAAAATATAGTAATGGTGTTTTACCTAGTCTCAAGGTTCAAGGAGGACTTCCCTGAAGAAGTGACTACTGAGCTGACTTGAATATTCATGAGTAGGAGTATTAAATAGAGTAAGCAGGGAGTGAAATGTGTAGTACCAAGTAGAGAAAATAGCATGTGTAAGGGGCCTATCATGGAAGAAAGGGTAGATGTTTTTGAGGAACTAAAGCAAAGGCTGGTGCAGTTGTACATCTGAGATGTGGTAGAAGTTTCTGGAAAAATACGACTAGATTAGAAAAAAAGCCTTTTACCTCTTTTCTGGCTGGAACCATGGAGGGTGTCAAAGAGAAGGAAAAGAAAGTGTTCCTGCTGTGTCAAAAACCCTTAAGAAAAAGTGAAGGAATTTCACAGAGCTGAAGATCAAACGCCTAGGAAAGAAGTTTGCCCAAAAGATGCTTCAAAAGGCAAGGAGGAAGCTTATCTGTGAAAAAGCTAAAAGCCTTATCACAAGGAATATAGGTAGATGTACAGAACTGAGATTCGAATGGCTAGGATGGCAAGAAAAGCTGGCAAATTCTATGTATCTGCATAACCCAAATTGGCATTTGTCCTCAGGATCAGAGGTATCAAAGGTCTGAAAGGTGTTGCAGCTTCTTCGCCATCACCATATCTTCAGTGAAACCTTGTTAAGCTCAGCAAGGCTTCAATTAACATGCTGAAGATTGCTGAACCATATGTTACATGGGGGTACCCAAACCTGAAGTCAGTAAATGAACTAATTTACAAGCGTGGTTATGGCAAGATCAATAGAAAGCAAATTGCATTGACAGATAATGCTTTGATTGCTCAATCTCTTGGTAAATAGGACATCATCTGCATGGAGGAGCTGATTCATGAGATCTATACTGTTGGAAAATGCTTCAAAGAAGCAAATAACTTTCTGTGGCCCTTCAAATTATCATCTCCACAGGTTGAAATGAAGAAAAAGACAACCCATTTTGTAGAAGGTGGAGATGCTGGCAACAGGGAAGACCAGATCAACAGGCTTATAAGAAGAATGATCTAAGATATCTACCATGATTATTTTTGTAATCTGGTTGATTAATAAACAATGACTGATTTCAAATTAAAAAAAACAACAAACACGCCTTTTAGGCCAAACTAAAGATTTGGACTTTTATACTAAAAACACTGGTTGGCTAAGACAGAGAATGACTTTATCAGATTTGCATTTTGCAAAGATCATTCTGACTGCTGGGTGGAAAACAGGGGTCCATAGATTCAAGTGGACCACTTAAGACTATTTAAGAGACAGTTGCTTATATACATACAGCTATTATGTACACTCAGCAACAGCAATTTACTAAGGCTATTTTTTTAGCATAGCCAGCTTTTTGGAGCTGGTCAGCTTTTCACAGCCAACTTCACTTGTTCTGAAAGTACTGTCAGTATTCTGTCCTTTACCCTATAGTGATTTCTTTTTCTTCCCATTCTGTTTTTACAGTACCAATTCTCTGATTTTCCCAGGTTGTTGCCAACTTCTTAAGGTTATTATCAGGGGCCAGTTTAAGCAAAGTCTTAATTCCCTCAGGTGGATCACTAATAACCAATCTGCAGAATCTTTCTCTTTCCAGATAGAACTGAACTCAAGAGGTTTTTTTTGTTTTTGTTTTTGAGACACAGTCTAATTTTGTTGCCCAGGCTAGAGTGAATGCCGTGGCGTCAGCCTAGGTCACAGTAACCTCAAACTCCTGGGCTCAAGCAATCCTCCTGCCTCAGCCTCCCAAGTAGCTGGGACTACAGGTATGCGCCACCATGCCCGGCTAATTTTTTCTATATATATATTAGTTGGCCAATTAATTTCTTTCTATTTATGGTAGAGACAGATCTTGCTCTTGTTCAGGCTGGTTTCGAACTCCTGACCTCTAGCAGTCCGCCTGTCTTGGCCTCCCAGAGTGCTAGGATTACAGACATGAGCCACTGCGCCCAGCCTGAACTCAGAGTTGATTCACAAGTTTGCTTCTTCTCTACGAGATGGAATTATTACATTGGACTGCTGCAAATAGAATTTGAGCCTGTGGCCTCTTTCCATGCTCTTTTGGGAAGAATTATTAGGTGCTTCAATAATTAAAAGTGATAATCCCTAATAATGATAATAAGTGATGATTCCATAATAAATTTCAGCTTCACCATGAGCCCCAGTTGGAAAATTTCTTATTGGTGTGGAGAGTGCCTCAAGACCCAGCTCTTGATCACTTGTATTCGCTTTCATTTTGTCTTTTTATTTATTTATTTATTTTTGAGACTGTCTCATTCTGGTGCCTGAGCTGGAGTGCAATGATGAGATCATAGCTCACTGTAACCTCAAACTCCTCCTACCTCAGCCTCCTAAGTAGCTAGGACTACAGGTATGTGCCACTGTGCCTGGCTAATTTTTGTTTTATTATTATTTTTTTTTGTAGAGACAGAGTCTCACTGTGTTGCTCAGGCTGGTCTCAAACTCCTAGCCTCAAGTGATCTTCCTGCCTCAATCTCCCAAAGTGCTGGAATTGTAGGTGTGAGCCACTATGTTCGGCCTTTCCTTCTCTTCAAGGGATCTCATTAGTTACCCTCACCACTCCATGTTCTCCATGTTAATTCTTTAACAGTCTGGCTCAAGGACAAACCCAGGTACTTCCCTCTACCTCTTAGCACAGGGACATAAAGATCAAATAGTCACTTCAGACTTTATTAAAGGGTTGAGGATGATAGCAGGAAAATATACTGAGTACATGAGTGAGGTTAATCTGACTTACCAGACTGCCTGCTTTTCAGTGCTTCCAGACTCCGCCTCATCCAATTTTCAGCCCACATCTATGTGGTAGGTGCCATTTTAGCACCCACTTCCTAAAATCCACATCTAGACAATTACTGTCCTCCAAATGTCTAGAGCAGGGGTCCTCAAACTTTATAAACAAGGGGCCAGTTCACTGTCCCTCAGACTGTTGGAGGGCTGTTGGAGAGTGTGGCGCACATTCCACACATTCGCATTGTGGGCTCAGGACGAGTCAGCTGCTAAGCAGAACAGGCAGCGGCAGCAAAAACACTCGGCGGTGGGCCAGATAAATGTCCTCGGTGAGCCACATGTGGCCCAAGGGCTGTAGTTTAAGGATGCCTGGTCTAGAGCCTATGTTCCTGACAAAAATTGTCTCCCTCCCCTATACCTCAGGCCTGCCTTCTGAATCCTGATATCTTATATGAGGATCTCCCTCTTCCCTAGTAATTGACATTGAGAATGGCTCTCTGTTTTAAAGGAACCACTCACTTATCCAAAGGAATGTGACCTTGCTGACCCTAACTGTAGACAAGCAGTGTGCTGTTTCCCCAGACCTACCTCTGGGGTCTAGGGGTATCCTGGGAAGACCTGGATGGCTTGTGATAGTTTTGAGTGAATTATCAGGAGTTCATTCATTGTTTACGACAGCAAATATTGCTGACTTACTAACAGGCCCTTTGCTAGGGCTCAGATGCCAACAGATCAGACCAGGCAGGAATGTGGGAGAGGGGCCTCCAGCATGGGATAAGGGGATGGATTATACTACCTTCAGAGTTCTTTCTAACCCTTAGAATTCTTGTATTTGCTTGTTTATGTCTGATTCTTTGTCAAACGGGTCTTACTCTATTTAGGGATATCTGGGCACCTGAGCCACAGCAAACTGAGTTTCAGGAATATCCCTGTCCTTGAAGCCGGAATCTGATCAATGCTTTGAGGAAGCCAGGAAACTGCAGCCTTCCATGTATTCATTGGTCGATTCATTTATTTATTTAAACAACAGTTATTTATAAACCATCTATAATGTACACAGTTTACTGGGTGTAGCGTTTACCAGCACCACCATTACTGCTACTTCCAGTAGCAGTCCTAGTCATTTTTAAAAGATTATGGTAAGGTATATTAATACATAACATTTACCATCTTAACTCCCCCTCCCCACCTTTTTTTGAGACAGAGTATTGCTCTGTCTCCTAGGCTAGAGTGCAGTGGTGTCATCATAGCTCACTGCAACCTCAAATTCCCAGACTCAAGCGATCCTCTCGAATAGCTAGGACTACAGGTGCATGCCACCATGACCAGCTAATTTTTTTGTTCTTGGTGGAGATGAAGTCTGGCTGTGTTGCCCAGGCTGGACTTAAACTCCTGGGTTTAAGCAATCTCGCCACCTTTGCCTCCCAAAGTGCTGGGATTATGGGT